ACTACTACTACTACTACTACTACTACTACTACTACTACTACTACTACTACTATCATAATATAAACAATCTGAGATCCGGGAATCACTCTAATTCTTTATATTTGTATACCTAGCACCTAACATAGTGTCAGGCACACAGTAGGAGCTTAATAAATGGTTGCTGATTGATTGATTACACTATGAGAGGGAATATCCACATTGAGTAGGATATCTGATCCATAGAAAGGTAAAGTATTTTCAAGTAAAGTTGGGAAATGAGAAATCCCTGGCAGGATTAATAATGATAGATGGTACACAAATAGGTTAAAGTAGTAAAGGCTATTCAATTATCAAGAAAAGTGGCCAAGGGCTAATTCAACAACTGCATTCATCCATGGAAGGGTTATAAGGTAGATGACTTAGTCTATGGTAGAAAGTCAGAATGTATTCAGGATATGAGTTTAATTGAACAAAGTAATATGAATGCTATTGAAGCTTTCAAGGCCTTCAGTTTTCTGGACCAAATACAGAACAATAGAATTATATATTTGAATTTAAAAAAGTGTTTGATTACTTTAATCAACACTTTCTTTTAGGGACAGTATAACTAATCTTTAAAAATAATATAGCTTCCTAATTTGGAATTATTTTTGATTAATGAAAAGGGACTGTATCCTTGACGTGCTATTGAGAAGTTGTGACATAATTAATCTTCCTAATTGTTTCAGCTGAGGACTGTTTCATCTTAGGCTCTCATCATTGTCTGTTGCCTATGCCTGTAAAATAGACTCAGGAACAATATTCTCTCATCCCTTGGATTCCCCAAATGGCAGCATAGTGGTTAATCAAGTAAGGGCCAATGCTACATTTTAAACCTCTCTCTCTCTCCACACACATCCATATGCATACATATATACACACACATACATATATTTATTTATAACATGAACATTTTTTCACATTGTTTTGCACTGTTTCCTAAGCCTTAGGGCTTTCATAAGCATTTAATAATTTCTTGATTTTAATGACTCCTTATCTTAATCCACATCTTAATATGGGAGGTAGCCCGACTGTGTTGGGTTTGGACCCAAAGGTTCTGGATTCAAATCCCAAGTTTGCTGTGTAGTTGACTTTGGGCAAATGACAAGTCTCAGGACCTCATTTTCTTTTTCTGCAAAATGAGGTAGTAGGCTAATAACTTCTAAGTTCCCCTCCAGACCTAAACCTCTAGTACATTCACATTGTTGTGTGTGGCTTTCCTGAACTGTCATCTCATCTCTGTGGAATATTTGTATGGATATTCCCAATGCAGTTGGACAACTTATTTGTAAGTTATGGACCCAAAGAGTTGTTTGGGGGGAAAGGGGTACTGAGACTTTAAATAATGTGTCTATATGAGTTAATTCTTATTTATTTCCAAGCTCTATAGCAACAACATTGTTAAAAACATATTTCAATAGAGAACAGAGAATATTTTTCAAATAAAATAGGCATTCTATTTCTTCTTTTTTAAAGGCCTTGGGGCTGAAATATTTGAGTCACAATATTAAAACCTTCAAAGTCCTACAATTAGTGTTCCAGGTTTGAATAATTTTCATTTATTGGAGTTCAGACCATCTATGTGCTGTGAAATGACTCCTATGGCTTGCAAATAAGAGTGTCAATTGCTAATATATTTGAACTAGAAGCATCCAGTTAATCTATACCACTTTTGAGAAAAACAGTTAAAGAATAACATGGAACAGGCGGTATTTACTGTACTACTGAGGAAGCCACAGTGACCACAAATGAAACTGATTTTTTTTTTTGGGGGGGGGGTGGTGGTAATCATGTGAGTTCTGAAGTGAGAGGATCCAAATTGTCACCTGTTTTTCATTGTTGTTTACTTTTGGTTCAACGTGCAAGGCATTTTGTTTACACCGGAATTTTTCCCTTAGACATGTTTTAAGGGGCCAGTAAGCATTACAAAGAGGGACAATTTTCATACCCGGATTTTAACCAGGATTTTCACGGAGCATTGGAGGGGGGGAGGGAAGGGGAGAACTAAGAAAAGGGCAAGAAAAGAAGAATGGGAACATTAATAAGAATCTCTTTTCAATCAGTCCTTGAGCTGAGACAGAAGGGGAAATGACTGGGTTCCTCCATCTTTTTTCCAAAGCAGCACAATCAGGGTCAAGTGGAACAGGTTTCTCCACTCTGCAATCAAGCTTGGGCTACAGGAGGTGATGGGGAGCAGGACCTCTGTAACTACAACTCTAGGGAAGGGCTTTCCTCTCCTATCTGAAGATCTGTTCTTAGAGCCTTTTCTCAGCTCAGCCTGCTCCCTAGTGGCTTTTTTTCCAGTAAGTGAGATAATCTCACTTAAAAGCCACTTACTGTGGACCCATTTCAGCGAGAAGTTAAGGTTGCCTGCGAAGAAATGTGTGTGTGTGTGTGTGTGTGAGAAAGAGAGAGACACAACACACACACACACACACAACTTTAAGGATGTATACAAATTCGTGTTGATAAATTTCTACGGCCCTTATTTGTTGACATGTCTATCGATCTTATATCTGCGTAGATATAGAATATAGTGCGTAGATAGGTGTATTCTCTATCCTGTGTAAAGCTCTTTCTAAAACTACTTAGCTCTATGTACACACACACACACACACAGTCTACCCATACACCACATCTATCTGCCCTATTTAGGACTGTATAGCTCAGTCTTGCAGCCCAGCTGGGGAGCTGTTGCTTCTTTTGGCTGATGCACCGAAGTGATGCTGGAGGAAAGAGACAGATAGAGTTAAGGGGAGCTCCTCCTCCTCTCGTCTCCCCGCTTTCATCCATCCAACCCCCATCCCCATAGTTACAAGACGGTGGAAAGTTGGCCAAGATGAAGGGCAGAGAGGTAGAAAGACTCCCGGGAAGCGCGCCTCCACCGCTAAGACCTGGGAGCCCTCGGGCAGTCTGTGTTTTGCCGGCAGCTGGTCCTTCTTTTTGCTGCCCCCCCTCCCGCCCCGTTCCCAGCAACTCCCCCGGGGCGTGTGCAGTGGGCAAGTTTGAGCACCGCGCAGGTCTCCAGCCCACCAGGATTCAGCCGCGACGTGAATTTACCAACCCAGCTTGGGAGTAGTACCCGACCCCAACTGGAGTCTCTATACCCCCGCCCAAATTCTGCCTCCTCTCCACCTCCCTTCTGCTCTCACTGCTTTCCAACCGCTCTCCCTCTCCGCCGTCCTGAAATTAGCTAAGGTGACAGGGACCGTCTGCAGGATGTGACCAAAAAAAAAAACAAAAGGCTCTCTCAAGGACTTCTGACTACTCACATCGCAGGCAGCTGCCGCTGCCAACACAGCTGGATCCCCGGGGCGCCACTGCCCCCAGCCCCGCTCAGCACCAGAGGGGCAGCGAAGGGCAGGGAACGACCCCTCCAGAACGTCCAGGTCCTGGGGACCCTGCGCTGATCTCAGAGCATCCTTCTCTTTAGCTCCAGGGGTTGGCACTTGGTGGGAAGGTTGGAGGGGAGGGGGTGGGGGGAATTACCAAATTCCTCCCAGCTGCAGGAAGTTGTCCTTTAAGGGGTGGGGGGGGAGGTGGGGGGGGAGGTGGGGGTGGAATTGCGGAGAGGCTGGTTAGCAGGCACATAGTCAGAACAGCATGTGGACTGGCTTCCCCTGTTTCTTCAATGCTCTGTGTTTGCAGCTGCGTCCGTGGCTGCTGCTACTGCTGCTGCTGCTGCTGCTGCGTCCGACGCTGCCGCTTTCAGTATAGCCTGCTGTTGGCAGCAGTCTCCCGGGCACTGGATGAAGAGAGGGGACGTACTGCTGCTGCCGCGTCCTCTGCTATATGGTGTCTTCTGTGGGGGGAGCAGTCGCTGCTCCTCCTCCTCCTCCTTCTCCTCCTCCTTCTTCTCCGTCTGCTACTGCTGCTGCTGCTGCCGCTGCCTCTGGAGCTGGCCCGTATTCATTCCCCCAGCCCATAGTCTAGTAAGGAGTTGAGACTCTGCGCCTCCCTCCAGGACGGTCGGACACACATGGCTTGTTACCTGGTCATCAGTTCCAGACATCTCAGGAATGGGCATTACCGTGGCATTAAAGGAGTTTTCCGAGGACCCCTATGCAAGAATGGCTCTCCCTCACCGGTAACTCTCCCCCAAACCCCCCTAACACGCACACACTCATACACGCAGACATTCAGAGTCCAAATAAACAGAGGGGGAAGAGTATTGCGTGGGTGGCTATGTATAAATATGGTACTCAGGGGATGAGCACCTACAGCATCTCATCAATAGTCCATACTGTCTGTTGATGGAGTTTAGAAATCTGCCACGCACAGAGAGGGGCATGCAACTGTTTACGTTTGTACTCACACCATATGGTTGTCAGGAGCTTTATTTTTCGATGTGTAAATAATAACGGAATGCAGTTAGCTGCAGGAATGTGGAGGTATCCTTAGGATTTATTCTGAATGGTGCTTCAGATTTTGATTCTGCCAGTTTGGACCAGTTTGGAAAGTTTGGGTGACACTTCATGTTTTGCCTTGGGAAGATTTACTCTATGGGGAAGGAAAAAAAGGTGCTTTTTAAAGGATGTGGATGCATCAGGTCTCAGGCAATGAAAGGTGCTGAGAGTTGTAACATGGTTTCACCTAGTGTTTTACCATGAGGTAGTATTAAAGAGAAAAAAAAATAAATATGCATTTGTTTGACTTTTTATCTTGCAATGGAGAGATTTAATAATTCTTAAGTGAATTGAACATTTTAAAAGCCATACTTCTGGTAAGTTGAAACTGAGCTTGCATGGGGGTTCTGATTTAAATGCTAATTATATCCTTGGAAGATGCTATACACTAATGATATTTTAGACTGCAAATATATTCCAAGAAAATATAAGTATGAATCATGCAGAAATATTATACCTGCATTCTTAGTAGGTAAATGAACTCAAGGAACAATATACTTCTGGTTCAGGGTAGAGAAAACCAAATTAATATACAATGAAATGGAGAGGAATAGTTTTAGATATTAGACTCATTTTTCCTTACAGACAATTTCCAGTATGAACTTTAATGCTTCATGTGGGTGAATTGATTTTTAGTAAAGTATAATATTGAAAAATCTGTGATTATGTTGGATATAGGCTATGCTCATGAAACTTAAAATGTGTTCAGTGCAAAGACAGAACTGAAACGTAAGTTATGAAGGGAAGTATTGCTTTATAGGTACTTATCCACTATAAAAAGTTTGATTTTGCAGACCCCTCATTTATTTGAGCAGATGAAGTTAGATAGAGGATACCATGGCGTGAATCACAGAACCTTAAGATTGTATGAGGCTTTGGGTACTTGAGTTTTTATTTTAAACTCTTTGCATTTCTCCTATTTTTAAAGTCTTTGAGGATAAGACCCATAAGTTTCCTTGGTAAGCTGCTTACATGTTTAATTATCTTCAGTGTCAGCAAAATAATTCTTGTATTAAACTCCAATCTGTCATTTTGTAAATGAAGACCATTTGGGGGATTTTCCCAACCTTCAGTCATTCTTGTGCTTCTCTTGCAAACATTGCTTTTAGTTGGGGGAGCTTTGAGTTGGACATGTTATTGTAATAAAGTCCTGAGTAGTTCTGTGTATGGAGGAGGGTAGGGGTACTTCACTAGTCCAATCTTTGCTTTTACTCCTGCTTCAGTTTGAGTGGGTTCCCTCAGGAGGTTAGTGCACACTGTAAGTCATGGGTTCCTGGGGGTTGGGGGTGGGGGCAGGAACCTTGCTCTGTGGCCACAGATTGTATCCTGAACCCTGGTTAGTCATTTCTCAAATGCATACCTTTGAGTAAGAGGGACCTTGGCTAAGAGGATGCAAAAGTATTAAGGCACTCTCTCATCAAAATAGAAGTCCTACTGATGGTGGGTGACCAAATAACATTATCCTACATAGAGAATAACAGTTTTATCCATTACTGTACTTGTTTTTAAAATGAAAATGCCAGTTTAACGACCCTGTTGACCATCTCACTATGACCCCTTTGTCCCAATCTTACAAATTAGTCTTTCCCAAACTTATTTTTGGTTAACTTTTACTCCTCAGGCCACCTCCCTTCAGTTAATGACACTGAATTCTATTTTACTTACTACAGACCACCACTCTAATTTGTCAATGTCACTATTAGTTTGAACAGATCTTTCGAGGTTCAGGACATTTCTCCCCTCAACTGGATGGCATCTGAAAATGTTGTAGTGGGTATATTCTGCATTCTATAGTTCAAGTCATTTATGGAAAGATTATGTGGCATGGGGTCCAGGCCTGACCATTACAGATCATCAAATAATGGTTTGTCTCCTTACTTTGAAACTGGTCATCTAGCTCTTTTTGCACCCCTTGTGTGATTGTTTTCAGATCTAGGCTGTTTTTTTCCCCTAGATTGTTCATGAGTTTATTTTGAGAGATGGAATGAGAGACTTAACTCAAGTCAAACTTTTTTTTTTAAGCTGTGTCTGTGTCTCATTCTTTTTAAGGTATTTTCATATTGTTTTAATGAGTCCCCTCCTCCTTCCAATACTTTCTCCTCCCTCCCCCTAGTGTTTCTCTTGAGATAGATGTTGAGTTTTCAGATCTGCAATACACAGGTCATGCTTTTTCCCTTTAAAAGATATAGGCACTATAATGGTCTTTTTTTTTTCCCCCAAATTCGAGTACTTTCCTAGCCCTTAGTAAATTCTCAGAAATATTTAGGTGTACCTTTTAACTTCAGTGACTATTAACCTCTTTTCATAACTATTCAACAAAACTTGGTCATTTGGCGACAATTGGCTTTCCCATCCTACCCTACTTGTGGTTGCCATTGCTATTCAAATTCATAAGTTTGGGTTTTTCCCTGAAAATTAGAGATGATATAAAAAAGGGAAATACCAATAAAATCCCACATAATAGAATCTCAGAACTAAAATACACACCAACTTACTTTACCAGAGAGAATAACAGTGCCACAATCAAATGTGGACATAAAAATGTGTTTCTTGGATGGTTATTTTTAAAAGAAATATCTGGAAATGCTCCAGGTATAAAATGTCGCTCCCTCAAAAATGTATTTTCACGGTTTTCCATTTGCCCCTAGTGTTTGCTAGTGTGGGTTATTACAGTCAAAACTACTGTGCGCAGCATTTTTTTTTCTTTCTATGCTGTTTATTTCAGAATATTTACTTCAGTGGACATTTACATTACGTTTTTAGTGAGAATTGCAGGGATAATAAAATATTTGGGTGTTATCAAGGCATATTCCTAAAGTTAAGGCAAAAGATGGCTTTTCTCATCCAAGGGTATAAATGCAAAGATTTTATTTGAAGGTTGAATTATTCTACTTATTGGGAAGTGTGTGTAAAAAGTATGGCATACTGCCTTTATTTCTAATAAGCGTGTTGGTTGGAATTCTGCCATAGCATAAAGAAAAGGAAAAAAAAAAAAGAGGAATTGGGGGTAGTTATCTATTAAAGTTTTTCATTGTTTTGAGAGAAAATTGGAATTCTCACCTCCCTTCTTCCTATGTAGATACCTAATTCCATCCCTCTCCCCAACCACAGTAACTACTAGCCAAAGTGTTTTTCTTATTCCTATCTGCCAATAGACCTGAACAAATAACTGCCTGAGAAAGAATCAACAAGTAAGAAGGGGAAAAAAAAAACTCCCACAAATCCTTAAGAGTTGTTATGAATTAACCTTTAAGATTATGTACACATTTCCTCAAAAGACACAAAACATACCTTTATTGTATTATTATTAAAAATTGTCAAAAGATATCTGGGAAAAATCATACATTATTTTACCATTACGTATACTAAGAATGTCTCCTTGTTTTGGTTTTCGAAAGGCAGTAAAATATAATCTTTAAGGAAAAATCCATTCTGAGATAAAACCCATCATTGCAGGCCAAGAAAGCTCCTCCACTGCCATGTCAAGATTCAGAAAGCCAAACAAATTTCCTCCAGTTTAGGAAATTTAGAGAGAAAAATGCATATTCCAGTTAATTTGTAATGGTGGTCCTTTGTTTTGATGTAAAAAAAAAATCTTCATTTTCAAATTAATAACCAATGAGAGGCAGTGGTATGGAGGATAGAGAAACCCTGGGCAAGTCACTTAATCTCAATATTCCCAGGCAACTCACTAAGAGTATAAATTGCTAAGCAGGTGCTAATCTGTATTGTTGCAGGAGAGGGGTTCTCTAAATCTATGAAGTCACAGGTCAAGTGAAATGCAATATATACTAGACTGAGTTTGGATTTATTTTACTTGATGCATGAAGAGTTAAAAGGATTGACATCTTTGAAATAAAATCTGTGTGTTTCGAATTATTATGTAATTGTCATCGTAGCTTGACTACATCTCTTTGTCTTATTAACTCTCTGCAAACTTGGATGTGAAATATGGTATCTTCATTTGAAGAACTATCCAATAGCATAGCTCAGCACTCAAGAGTAAGGGCTGTTGGGAGCATGCACATCTCAGTTCCTAGTTGGGACCAATGGGATTTGGGCATTGATACAACTTATCATAGGCACTTAACCCTTCACGACCCAACGTGAGTGCCATTTCTTCTACATACCCTCATGTGAACATCTTAGCTCAAAGCGTTCTCTTCTTCGGCTACTGTACTGTCTCTTCTCTTGTCTTCTCTTGCATGTTGCTTCTCCTATCTAGTGGAATGGAGTCTTCTTTAAGGCAGGGATTACTGTTTCATTCTTTCCCCCCAACACTCAGTACAACATTTGGCAGAGAGTGAATGCTTAAGAAATGGGTGTGGATTGAATCATTACATAAATCAAGGTGTGTTTTCTGAAGCTCTGATATGCCTTTTGCTGTTGCTGCGGTTGTTTGCCCTTCCGTCTTGAAGAGGACCATGACATCAGGAAGGTGATTCTCTAATCACGCTTGGGGAGCCCTTTACTCTGTCTGTCTCCTTTGGGCTTCTCTTAGCCAGACGCGAGAGATTCTCAATGTAGTCTGTGACTGCAGATTCCCAGCCCCTATCTCAAAAGTGAATTCTTTTCTCCCAAATCAGAATCTTGACATCTTTTGATTGTTGCACAACCTTGGTTTTTCTAAATATACCAAATCTTATTTCAGAGTACTTCAAATGTTTAATATCAAATATGT